CAGTTAATCGAAACAAGAGCATTCTATTATACGACATGAAAGTTCGGTTTCCCAAAATACATATTATATATATATAAACTTAACTCATCAGATTTAACACAATTTGATTAACGAATTTCGCGCAAAGCTATTGCATGGCTATCTGTTTGTTTATTTGTAATTAAGCACAAAGCTACACAATGGGCTATCTATGCTCTGCCCACCACGGGTATCGAAACCCGGATTCTAGCGTTGTAAGTCCACAGACATACCGCTGTGCTACTGGGGGGCATGGCTATCTGAGCATCATGGCTATAATTTTGAAAGTGATAGGCTAGAAGAAACGCAGCTTGTCAAAATCATATACCGTAAATTCGTGGACTAACCGAACTGAATAGTGTAATATGGTTATTACTTTTTTATCGTAGACGTGGCTCCAAAGTGTTTGGCGTGTTTTTTTTTAATATTTTATTCTTTTTGAGTGGTAATGGGGCGCGAACAACGGAAGCTCCGATCCACAGCCCGATGCGCAACACAAATTACGATCACTGCCGAATAAGTTTTACATTTTTTTATTATAGAAAAACTTATCTCGCGATATTTATTTAACAATTTACGACGTTACCTACATAATAATACGATAACATATGTAATACACTATACCTGGTCTTTGTTAATCACGGCTTCACATATTCCTACGTCGATTGTACAAAGCTTCTTAGCTAAATGTAGCGCTGAGGGAGAAAAATAAAAACTAATGAAAAATCGAATAATTAGAACATGAATAAAATATTGACCAATTCATAGCCTATCATGTTTAGTGCCATCTGTTGACATATTTTAAGAGTAGGACAATTATTCTTTTAAACCGAGAACACACAGATATAAACGAGTAAGTATTGTTTGTTTGTTTTTGAAGTTAAGCACAAAGCTACACAATGGGCTATCTGTGCTCTGCCCACCACGGGTATCGAAACCCGGATTCTAGCGTTGTAAGTCCGCAGACATACCGCTGTGCTACTGGGGGGCACGAGTAAGTAAATACATACCTACGTGTTTGTCGAAGAAACAAACCAGAACAGTTTATTTCACACACTTTTAATAGTTTCGTACTTTCACATTTCAAAGCCATAAAAAAAACCAACTTTCAATGATCGTATTTTTAATGTTTTATAGAACTGTCGTTTTTTTATCACTTCTGGACGTTTTTTTTTCTTTTCAATATATCGTTCAGTTTATATATTTATTTATAACTAAAATTTAAGTAAGTTTCTGCATCATAGCAACAGAAGACCTCGCCCAGGAGTCTGCATACAACACGAGAAAAGTTATGTCGCCATCTATACCGTAGTTCAAACTTATATTTTAATTATTTTAAAGTAGCATTTATAATTAGGAAAATAATTTTGAAGTGCAATAATTAATGTTCTTTTGGAATCAACTTTCATTTTCATTTACTTTAACTTTATATGAATACCCTGCTTTTTCTTTAAATTCTTGGACTTTAAAGAAGTTTCGTTTAGATGTACCAGCTACAAAAATACAACCATGTTAGTATGAATAAAGTAAGAATTATAAAAAGTACAAATGTTCTTAGCTAATACCTAAAGCGACACGTAATAAGATTAACACACTGAACAGGTTGTTTAGGACGGCTCGATAAAAAAAACAACAACAACAAAAACTGATGGTTTTTTGTATGTACGTGTGGAAATCTCGTGCGATCAACTTAAGTAGTTATAGCGTAAGGTTTCGTAAAGAAAACAAATACCTACTGCTAAGTTCTTTCTTTTGCAATTCCTTCTTGGTAAGCCTTTTATTGAGTTTCAGCTTTCGTCTCCTGACGATATGAAACAAGAATAAAATAAATAATAATACATGTATCTCATTACAGTTAACTTTTTTTTTTTAAATAGCACGCTTCAAGATTAATTATAATAATAATCAGATGCATCACTGCCTATATCACATAGAAAATGAACCTTCCATAAGGAACATTACTCTGAACTTGTAATCAATAAATTATAAAATATTGTACAGTGTTTTCGGTAATATAATATCCAGGGTGAAACACTGCTCACTTTAAAATTCTTATATTCAATATGTTGTTGTTGTTTTTTTTTATCACAAAGTGACAACTTTATGGAAACGTTTACTTAAGTCAACTCGAAATGAATAGCCCTAAACAGCGATTTTGAAAATTACGACGTTTTTTTTCGTTAATGAAGTGTTTTTAATCAATGTTCTTAATTTTTTTTTCTTTTAATTTGCATTACTATGGTAACCTAACTTTTTGGATATCCTCGGTCAGGGATCGAACTCGCCTTCCAACTGAGCTAAAGAGATAACATCCTAGCAATAAAAAAAAAAATGAAACTACTATATTCTTCCTTTCTCGTGAACACGACCCATCTTTTGGTCTAATCTCAAAATCCTGCGACGAGCACACGTCAGACGACAATATTCATGGGGTGATTCAACATTTACTTCTCCTGGAATCGAACACAGTATTTCTCTCGCGTGCCCAGTTAATCCTTTACCAACCGAGCAGCATGATTAACACCCTAGAAACTCCTAGCGATGTACATTTTAATTTTGTTGTGGTAATCCCATTGTTTACATCTTCCGTGAGCGAAATCGAACCTCACCTATCGTAAGGAGGCGAGTGTTCAACAAACTGACTCAGGGCCAGAAAGGCTGAATTTAACAATTAAGATAGCGCATTATGACGTTTGAACAATTTTCACCTGAGTGAAACCTCATGCGACTCGTAGGCTGAACGGCCAAGATTCAGGAAAACAATTACTTTATTGAATTGTTACCAGAGCGTGCCACGAGCGTCTGTAATTGAATTGCCCGAAGATGATGAAAAACAATTACTTACTCTACTGAATTTTTATCACAGCCACAAACGTCTGGAATGAATTCCTTTGTGTCTATTTGATCCTGAAGTCTCAAAGCATTTCTTGCTGTAGCCATCTCATACTGAGCCCAAGCCTTGTACTCCTATCGATGTATATTTTAAATGAAAAACAAACAATTGTCTTAATTTATTGTACTAACTCTGGGTACGATGGTTATTAAACAACATTTTAAGAATAATTTTGATTCGCTGTCTCATTATTGAACATATTTTCTTTATAAAGGTTGTTGCCAGTAATAAAAAACGAAATTTCAAAGTACACGTTTAAGTTAGCTTTACAATTCAATTTCCATAAAATAACACGAATTAGTTCATTAAATTACGTTCTTAATAGGTTTTGTGACTGTCTAATAATGAGAATGTAAAAAAAGTTTGCCCTAAACCGTAGTATTGACTGAAATTGGCAGAGCTGTAACTCAAACTACTTCAAGATGAAAAATGAACATATGTACAACACAAAATACTCCCAGAAAGCCTTGCAGCTTAATGTTAGAAATAATCGTTTAAACAAGTTCGTTGATGTTTTCTCGAATAAAAAAAAAAACATAAACAAATATTTACTCCCCCCTTAACTAATAACAACTGATTCTTTCTTATGACAAATCATTTTATAACAAAATTCCATCATAATTATTATTCGTTGGGGAGGGCTTTGTAGCTGTTATAAAAGGGGAATATGTTTTTTATCCGGGAAGAGGCTTTGACAGATATTCTAGAATAAATGATATTTTTAACAATTTCCACTCCTAACTGTATAATTCTTATTCAAAATGACATTTCCGAAAAATAAAATCTTTTACACAAAGAGTTAATCGACCCAGGTTAAAACCCCAGATTAAAACCACGAGGAAATTTTCAAACCGATTACTATAGATTTATTAAGAGCAGAATCACATAAGCATATATATCAAGTGGGCTTCGTCTTGTTCTCAACAAGGGGAAGCCATAATATTATGTTTAAGACCTCGTTACAATGTATGAACCTAATATTTCAATATGTACATTTTAAATGTAATTTATGCAAAAACCAATTATATGTATCCTATACATTTCGACATTTAATTGTTCAATATCCAGCAACTAAATCAAGATACTTAGAAAAATGATCAAACAGTACCTTCATGTTCATTTTTCTCGGAGGGACGAGAGTTTCACTTCCGGGGCCAAACCATCCAAGCTTTTCGTATGGAGTTTCTATATCAATATCTTTCTTGGTTCCATTTTTTGTATCATTCTGACAATTCGTTTCCGTTTTTTCTTTTTTGTTCGTTTCTACTTTTCTCTCCAAGTTTTGTTCAATGTCTTTATTACATCTCTCGTCTTTTGTTTTATCCAAGTTTTCCAGAAGGTTAAGTGTGTTGTTGCATTTCGTAACTGTCTCCGAAACCGATTTGGAGTGCTTATTAGGGTTATTTCTTTTTTGGCTTTGCTCAGTCTCCCCGTTTTGATTGGCTCCGTCGTCTGGATTCACACGTTTGAATTTGTTGGATAGTTGTTTCCTGAGTTTGAAACCTTTATCTTCAGTAATTAAATCGTTTTGGACTATCGGTGAATTATCAAAAGTTTGTTCTATATTCTCTTCGGCAAGTGACTCAAAGAAATCCATCGAATTTGTTACTGCTTGAGGCAGATCTATTAATAAGTAAACAATAAATACTCTTTACACGTAGATAGCACAAAACTTACAAATTTAACATTTAAACAAAGGAGAGTGTAACACATTAGTATCTTCCTCTTTTGGGAAAGATATAAAATGTATCCTATTAAGAAAAGTATCTGATCAAGTATATCCAACACATTGATGGGGATACACTATCTATTAGATTTGACGCAAGTAAAATAAATCAAGAACGTACAAACAGAAGCTGGTATGGATGACCAAGCTAAGATCATCCCACATCTAAAATTTAGTACAATTTATAATCCGCGCCAGTTGTGGTAAGAAAATTGTTCCCACTGAAATAGCAACTTAAATATATGGTGCAAATAGGTTATTAAAAACAGTTTGTTTGTTGGTTTTGAATTTCGCGCAAAGCTACACGAAGGATATCTGCGCTAGCCATCCATAATTTAGTAGCGTAAGACTAAAGGGAAGGCAGCTAGTCATCACCATCCACCGCCAAC